CAGAACTGAATTGTAAAAATTTAACTCTAAATCCACTTGTTAACGGTTTGGTTGTATGGAAATCTTCTGATTATCATGACATAAAACTTCTTTATGCTCTATTATTAAAGATCACTTTTAAAAAAACATATCTTTCAGGTTAAAAGGTTGGGAAAGGATGATACTTATGTAAAAAGTCTGATAAATACTTTCATATTCCCAATAAAATAACTAATTATAAAATGTATTTTCATTATAGAGTTATGGAGATGGTTCCATTTCTTTGAAATGATGAGTCGATTAATGTTAGACCATCATTAAAAACATGGGAGCATTAGACGGTCGTTTCGTCCTAGTATGGGTCTCATCAGTAGTGTGCACCCATGAACTTCGCAAGCTGGACTCGAATCTGGGACCTTTGGTCATGCAGCTCAGTGGTCTGGGAGTTAAGCATTTGCGCCCGGAACCGAATGTCCTGGGTTCGATTTCCCCAAGCGCAGATCATGGATGCGCACTGCTGAAGAGTCCCGTGCTAGAACGAGAAGACCATCCATTGCTTCCAGATTTTTTATTGTCATCTAACATTGTTCGTTTCATCATTTCAGTAAATTTACAAAATATCATCATACTTAGGTGTGAATAAAATACACCATTGACTCTAGCAACACTTCATATTTTAATTTTCTGCGTGTCAATATGCACATCCAATATTTTGGTGAACAGATACTAAATTATTTTATTCAGTAATAAATACAAAATTTCCATTCAAAATTGCTCTTAGCTAACCAAACCCATTTTTGTTTCTCTATACAATTCTTTAATGAAACCTACTCATGGCTTCATTCAATGTTGAATCTTAAACACTTAAGCAGGTTGTGATTAGTTGAATTAGTTGGCTTAACCACAGTTGTCGATATGATGAATTACTGCAAAAAATTTAGCATATATTTGGTCTTACAAGTTGCCGTTATTACGAAATAATTGGCTGACTCTAGAAATTGCACCATATTAGAGACAAATTAAACTGAAATTCAACCCCTGAATAAGGAAGTCTTTATTCGTTGGAATGAGATCATGGAATCGATAACATTTGGATTACTAAAATATTAGTGTTTACATAAATCAGCTTATTTATCATTTGAAATCATAAGATGATCGGTTGGAAAAATTGGGTGGTCAAGGTTAGAGAAGCAGTTGAACATATTTCTTTTGAACACAAAGCTCTGAATATCTATCGCTTCCGTCGTTTAAAGAATTTTAAGTTGGACGAATTTTTAAAAGGCACTTATTAACAGGATATATCGCTGTAAATGACTAATTATTGACGTGTTTGCACTAATTTATTGATGATTTAACTATTAACACTTCTAAATACATATCTGCTTAACCATACTGAGAGGTGCTCACCAGTACGACAAAATACGAATTCCTTAAACATCTGACAAAATAACTTGGTCCACACAAGCAGTTAGATTGGTAGATACAGAAAGAGGTGGTTAATCTTTCAATCCCGAAGTCACTAGTTGACATGCAGAAATTATTACTTGTAGTTTTCCTACAATAAAAATCCATTGATTTGCTCTGCGCAACTTCTGCAATAATATTTTACTCTCACTTCTAAATGACAGGTGTGTAAGGGGAGACATTTAACTTACCATTAAGACTTCCTTTTCTGATATATTTTCTTGACTAAATGTCTATCTATAAATTCCTCAAGGTGCCTGTTTTCTTTTAGAACATTAGCAAATGCAGTTTTTTCCCTCGGTAACTGTATCTGAGAGGAATTCAACCTTGGTTCTACAATAAAGAGTCTCAAACAGATTCCATTTGCACTATAGAAGAAGAAAGCTGAAAAAATTGTGTATTGGCTAGTCCAAGTTCTTTTTCTCTTTAGGTTTCATCTTAGTAACCCGTTTACTCTTGTTGTAGTGTGAACACCTAGAAATGCTATTCCGTCACTATATTCTTAGTCACATGTGAATATAATTGACGAATGAACTTCACGAAATCTCTGGAGAGTGACTGTCACGTCAGTATGGTGTTTACGAAGGATGAAATTGTCATCTATATATTGGGAGTAAAATATATACTTTTCAATAGTTTGTTTCAATGGACCGTTTTTTCCGATTTAGCGCTTAGCGGCTCACGACTGGACTCCAGTGTGGTGAACCCATTGAAACACTTTGTCTATATTTGTCGGTATATTTAACCATTTAATATAAAGTTCATGTTCATAGTACATTGTAGTGATAACACTTTAATTATATTGACTAGAATTATAGTTTCTATTCCGCGTTCTGTGATCTTGCCACAGATAAATCCGACATTCATCATAAGTTGGACATTAGTCACATCTAATGACATGATCATTGTTCACTAGTGTTTGCGCATTTGATCTTATCTACAAATAAGAAGACATCCTTACTACTATGCTACACCAGTAGTTCTAAAATGGCCAATAACCACGGTACTATATTATGATAAGGAGATTTATGCATTTCCGAAATTGGTCTTAATGAAACACACGGTTTATGAAATTCAGCAATCCAAATAACTTCGGCAATGAGTGCTTATCGGCTCATTCTTTTTATATATATTTGATACAACTCCCTGTTGATTTGGAAGCTTTTTTTTTAAGATCTGTTTAGATCATTTTCTTCCTTATTACTAATGACATTTCTATCTTGGATTTTATTTCTGCATACCGGGACAAGGATCTACATTGATGCGGAATCCCATACTAGGACAAGAAAAACATCCATCACTTTCAGGTTTCACTAGTTCTTGGACTTAGACTGGATTACAGTTTAAATAAAATTCGACAATTCCCACAACCTCACACTGAGAGTAGTCGTTTCTGTCAAGTAGAACACTTCGTATTCTTTTGATCACGTAACATACTTAATATGAGTAAAAAGTGCACAAAAACTTGTGTGATTTAATTAGGACCGGAAATTAGGTTCTTGCATAATGACATGAATACATTAGTTCGAGGTTGGCTTTCACAAAATATTGCATTCGATAAACTTTTGAATGATTTCTCTCTGTGAGTGTAACTCTCATTATAAACTAGTCTATATTTGTACGCTAAAGATTATTTACTTAGCGTTATTTGACTTTGCAAGTCAGTTGACATTATTTCTGATTATTCGTCAATTTAACTGTTATTTAATGATAGCAATGACTAAACATTTAATTTTCATTAAGCCCAGATGTTTGGTTTATACTGTCTTATCAATTCAAAACTGATTCATAACTTGAAAAGAACAATTTTAGTTACATACCAGTTAGATAATATCAACTACAGAGTTTCATACAGTCGTATGAGATATTTTCAATCAACTCAGTATTGAAAGCAAATGATTGTTCAAGTACTTATTTGAGTAGAATGCTGACAAAAATTGATCGTACAAAACTAGATCTATTGGTCTGCTCAGTTTAAACAGGGCTCACTAGTGACTAGTTTCGTGAGGAAATTCTCGGAGTTCTGGTTGAGAAGACGTGATCAATGGAGTTCAACCCTGTCGGGTGTAGGCAGTAACTACCAAAGACAAATGGGTGAGGTCGCGCAAAATCCGTAGATCAATCACCGTTGGATGCCGGCCCAATGGTCCGATGGTTAGGCGTTCGCGCACAATACCGAAGGTCCCAGGTTCGAATCCTGCGAGGCGCAGGAGTCGTAAGCCGTGGATGCGAACTGCTGATGAGTCCCATACCAGGACGAAATGGCCGTCCAGTGCTTCCAGGTTTCTGATGGTGGTCTAACAATGATTGATTGATGATTTCAAATGTGTAAAAACACAAACCTCCAAAACTCTGCCCCAAAATAAACAATGAATATCAGCAGATTTTAATCCAGGGAACTGATTGCATGATGATAATCTGCATAGCGTTGAAAATTATGCTTATTCAATGCCAACTTCATATTGATAAGATTTTAAACGATGTATTTTGCCTTAAACCTGGCCACACTTTGGATTATAAAATTTGGATACATAACTGTTGAACATGAAGAGAATTTTTATTACAGCGAATGTTCGTCGTCGTGTTTTATTGTGATGGGCATTTTTCAGAGATTTATTAAAACCGTTGCTGACATTCTTACAGCACAATTATTATGTCAGTGTAGTTTCATTGGATAATGAGAAATGTTTTGACTCAGTATTTCAAAATATTTTTGTCATTTCTAACGAACAAACAATATTATTTCATTTATAGTCATTAGCATACATACAAATGTCAAGTGTGTATGTACGCACAGCTATACTCTTTTTCTCAACTTATTAAGTATATGAACAGGGGGGAATAATATAACGTAGATAGAAAACCAGTTTTCTTTCATATAAACATACGGCCGAAAAGATAGTGTGATTTATTTTCTCTCCATTATTTCATCCAATAGGAATTCAGCAATGGGTTTTGACCAGTTTTGTTTATCCAAAGCAAGGGTATCCATACATAGCTGCACACACATTAGTATCAATCAAATAATTAACGTTATTTAGGTTTTTTTTGGTAGGAAAATCATTTGAGATACAGTCCAAAACCTCCCTTATTATATTTTGCTACCGTAGCTCTAGGGGAAGGTAATCCTCATTACAGTCCGAACGGGTATAACAGAATGAAGGCTAGTTGGTAATTATTGCTATGGTAGCTTATATTAAATTGTAGAATAAAAAAAGTAGTGAGAAACAGTTTACAGTTTATAGATTGTGGGCGTTAACTGAATACTTGAAAAGAAGATAATAAATACAATAAGATAGATGGATAGAGAAAAAAAAAGTGAGTTAGTGAGTAAAAATTAATACAGAGAAAGAAATTAAATAAATACAAACTGGTAAAAGACCTTCCTTGTTTTTTTTTCAATCTTATAACGAGGACGAAACAAATTCAAATTTGTTTAGAAAAAAAACAAACAAACAATTTGCTAATCAAAAGATTGTCATTTATATCCGTATTCTATTGGATATATGTAAGTGTGCATTAACATGTTGTAACAGCAGATCAAACAAATAAATAACATTGAACACCGGATGGATTTTGTCATTTGATGTAGTTTGATCGATCACTTCCAAACAGAAATAAATAAACACATTTCTTCATATATTCATTCATAAAAAAGATATCTCCGAAACAAAAGAAAGAACAATCGCTTTCCTGGTTGAGAATGCTGAATGCATTAGAAAATAACATTTTACACAGTTATTCTCACAAAACTCCTAATACATTCTCCACTACAAATGATTTTACAAATCTATTTACAATGCTTATTGCACAACAGCAGCAGAAACAGTTAAAACACACTGATAGACAATTGTCATTGAAAAGTCGATATCAATCGGTGTTCATGGAAAATTCGTTGGTTTGTAAGTTTGTAAACAGGACAGAATCACTGCCAGCTATATCAACATCAGCAATAACTACAACAACAGCTACAACTAATCACTATGAGTTTAAAGCACTGCAACCGAATCCATCGAACCAGTTAAGACAACAACTTAAATTTGGAATTGACACTATTCTTGGTACAATGAATACAAATGAGCACTTGAAAAAATCATCTGAAATAAGAAATGATGTGGAAAAGTTATCTGAAGCTAACACCGGCCAATTATCAATGAAAAATAGGACTTGTATGATGACGGCAAATCAAACAGAGTCTAATTATGTAAATATATTGCCTGATAAACGAAGAAGTGTTTTAAATAATGACGAATCTCCGATAAATGTGATTTCACCTTCATCTGAAATGATGAAAACATTGTCCATGACTTATCATCTAACACATCAATCTCCAATCTTACTCTCTCATGATCATCAACAACATCAACAACAGTCGCCACCGACTTCATCCAGTAAGTCATCAATACCACTGCAATCTTCATTGTTTCTTTCCTACGGTTCATTTCCTTTCGTCAATCGTATCACAAAATCATCTTCTGTTTCATCTGGTTCTTCATCATCTTCCTATTTATCACCAACTGCACAGAATGAACAAATCTATTTTCATGAATCCCCTAGTAAACTATGGTCAAATCCACAATTACTCAATAATATAATCAAAACAACTGAATCGTCAACTGTAAAAATGAATAAAAATTCTTATTTGACAACATCAGAGCATAGTTATGTATCGGATGATCAAAGTGGAAATGCTATGAATGTAAGTTGATTTTTTTGTAAAAAAAAAAGGAATTAATTTTGCAACATTGTCAATGCTTTAACATTTATATAAAAAAAAATAGTGTAAAATGATTATAATTAAATGGACAAACTTCCTACTTATAATTTAATTTCTCATTTCTACTCTGTGAATGATTTTTCTTTAGTACTGTGTGACAGTAAATATAAAATAATAAGGTTAATTTCGTCATTGAACTTTCATTTATTGGCTTAGAATTACAGAATTTTATAGTGTATTCTGATGAGATCAATCCTTTTGAAGCAGAGAAAGATATAAATTTATTGGGTTGGCTATCGATGAATCTGTATTGATTATTTTTCTGAACAATAACTGCTGAAATGACCATGTTGACGAATCCATGTTGATGATTACTACTTCCAAACATATCGTCAGTAAGCTATTGATCTGGTGAATACACCCTCATGACGATATCGATAACTAACAGGTTTCATGAATATTGGAATAAAGTAAAATGAGTTCATAATTTGACTGAAGATAGTAGTGAATATTTTATGCATATTTATGGGTGGTTTCAGACAAACAGACTGCTGATTCTTCATAGTTTGTTTACGAACATATACAGTTTTTTGTTACATAGAGTCAAACTAAAATTTTTTCAGTTGTCCTTCATTGTCGACTTATTTGGTTGGACTGGCAACATCTTTGTACGGTTATTCCAGGAAATCTGAACCAAATTTTCTCATTAAATAGAACATTGTTGGGATTTAAGTATGCGTTTTTTGACGATTTATTCGATTTACAGACAATTTTTATCAAGGATTTCTTCATCTACTGGATAACATTTGAAAATAATTCACTCCTGATTAAATCCTTAATGTTATTCTGTATGTTACCACATGATGATTAGATAACTAAACAACGACTATGTGGTTAAGCTCCCAACTATTTTTCAGTCAGACAGATTTCACAACTATTCAACTATTTTTTCGACAGTGAATTTGGTAGGTTTTTACTACTTTAATCGCTTTCAGTAGTTCGGACCCATTTAATCTGTATCTTGAATTTTTGGGCTGCATTGTTCTCGAACTGTATTTTCTAGAGTTCCGTCTTTCAAACTGGCATTATTTCAGCTTCTCTGTGTTTATTTTGTCCGGTCTTATCACTCTACTGAAATGGTATGACCGTTGACATGATGCACAATCAAATTCAGGTCGATACAGATTTTACCTAGTAATACTTTTCAAAGATTTTTTTTGGGTATACATGTACTCAATAAATAAATAGAACAGTAAACCAAACGCTTGATAATGGAACTTCGTTGTTTTGAAGGAAAAACAAATTGGAATTGTGGTAGTCTGAGTGTAATTTTCCACATATTAGCAAATTAGCGATCCTGCAGGACTGTAGTAATAAGCTCTTTACATTTAAACAAAGCACATAAAATCAGCTGCATTTCTTGTGTTTTACCTTTACAAAAGCATAGAGTTAAAGTTCATGATTTTAAATATATGCAATAACATGGACTAAATATTAACGAGTTTATCAAAAGAATTTTATAACCACAAACCTGCCAGATGAATTTAGTAATATAGAGTACTGATTAAATATAAAACATTTATAGATCAGTTCATAATAATCTAGGAAAACAGTGTGACCAGTCAGTAAATACCTACCGACCTCATATTGGTTAATCCTCAACGCTTATCACTTTCTATGTATCATACTAGAAGTGAAGATTAATCTGACACTCGATCATGGTTAGATGGTTAGCAGTGGTTACGAAGAGGACTTAGATCTCATTATAGTTTTAATTTATACTCATCACCTGTCCTTGGCGATAATGAAATCCATCAAAAATAATTTGTGTCTGAATTCAAGACGATTGACTAGTTAGCACTTAAGTGATAGTTGAAATACTGTGATGAAAAAAAAAAGCATTTCATAAGATTTTATGATCGATTGTTTATCCAATAAATAAACTGTCGCATCCATTTCGGTAACATTGTAAAATATTAAATTACAACAGATTTCACTTATTGAACAATAAAAAAAATATCATAAATTTAAGTTTTTATTCTACGCCAGTTTTTCTTTTCTTTTTTTTCAAAAATCTTTTTTATACTGTTTTTGGCCATTGACTTTGTCATCCATCCATCCATCCATCTATCTATCCGCTTATGTTCTACTTATTGACAAAGTTGCATAGTGGTAAAATATGACATTGAAAAAAAAAGCGGTTACATGACACGTCGTAACAAGATTTCTGGTCGACATTTTGGCAGCATTCATTATTATTATTATTATTATTATTATTATTATTATTAATATTAACATTTCTGCATTAGAATTATGATGATGATGATGTTTGGTGCTGCCGTTTTTTTTCTTCTTTTGATATTAGTGCAACGCATTTATTGCCTATATATATATATATATATATTGATTCAGTTTGAGCAAGAAACAAATCACTGTGCTAAAATCGAATGAACACACATGACTAATCCTTAAATATACAATATACAATGAAAGTAATGCAATTCTTTTAACATGTCGTACACTTAAATCATTTTACTATTAGGAAGAAGAAGAAAAAAAAAAGAACAGTTGTAAATTTTCAAAAACGGTAAAATGATTCGATTTGACATGGATTACAGTATACTGTATTTTGTTGTTTTTTTGTGTTTCTCAATGAATAAGTTTATTGATCACTGGATACCACTGGGTTTCATCGTGGTTACGGCGTTTTGATAGAAACATACAAAAGTGGTTAGTTAGTTAGTTAGTTCTTTTAATTGGTTAGCTACTTAAAGTAGGTAATCTTTGATTAAAGTGGAGGACATGTTTCACTTAAGAACTATGGTGATACAGCAGTATATAGTATACTTATTTAATAGCATGTACTAACATGATAACTATCAGTGTGCTTACTTATGCATTACTTATTCATTTCAGCAAAGATTTGTTTTTAATTTTTATACAGTTGGGAAGAAGACTTGTTGACATAGTCATGTTTCTAATCTATTTATCATTTTGGAAAATGTAAGATCAGTTGACACTACAGTTTTAGTGAATGCATTCAAAAGGCTTTCAGTAAAATAAAAAATGAAAATGACATTTAAAGTAGTGAATGGTTAGAAATAAACTAATCATGATAACAATAATAATAACAATGAATTTATGAATAATTCACTAATTATTAAATTAATTAACTTAAATAAGTAGTTTTATTATATTTCGATTTAGTTGGAACACTTTAATATGTAAATAAGCTGGCGACAAGTTGAATATACATAGTTAATTAGAGAATCAAAAGATGAGGGTTATCAACATCGACAAAGAGAATAGAAGGTTTTGATTGAAACGCTGATTACTTTTTTTGTGTATATTGATCATACATATCCATGGCCTATTGACTACCTGTGTGTGTTTTTTTTCGTTAGACAAATTTGATGATATTTGTCATTTGTTCAAGTGAAAAATGAAAGGTTAGTTTCTTCTGAGATAAATTGATGCGAAAATATGCAATTTACAAAGGTGACTTTTAGAGTGTAACTTTCATTATAAATTAATGTGATTTGAGGTATCGATGAAAGCCGATAATATATAGCTGTTTAGTGGTGATTTGTGGAATCGTTATCGATCTAAATTCACCAAGCTATATGAAACAAAAATTTAGCCATCCTAAATATGGAATGTCAGTGGAGTGTAAGGCAGCAGTAAACAACATTGGCTTTACTAGCAATTGTACAAATAATTAACTACATGTAAAAATCGATATATATATATATATATATATATATATATATATATATATATAGGTCTAGCATTGTAGGTGCAGATAGATGAGGAGTATTACACTTGAGCGAAACAGTCGTTCGTTGCACCCTGTTCTCAGTCTGATATCAATTCTTGAAATTGTGTTATCATGGTTAATCAAGTAAACACACTTTATCGATAAAAACAAAATTATCACTTGTGAAACAGTCTTTTATTCATATGTTAGAAATTTAAATAAATTTATTTCATGGTCAAGTTATTACTAACTAATAACAGTGTACCCATATGGATTTTTATTATTTTATTTTGTTGTCATCAATAATTTTGGCTTATTTCAATTAGTACTAAAGAATTTCTCATGGAACTAGTAATCATTTCGTTCATAAAATAATTCAAAGCAATAAATTACTATTCTATTTTGATTGGTCATTTATCTTGTAAAATCCCGATTCATTTGAATAATTCTTGCCACAAAAGGATTATTGTTCTCGAATCAAATAACTACATCACAAGAATAAAGTGTTATCATGAAGGTAAGTAGGTAATAGTAGTGAAATGTCATAAACCTTTTTCCTAAAGTGATCAGTATAAGTTGAAAGAACATTTAAAATAATGTAACTCTGGAATACCATTGCATCCTAGTTGATAACTTTACAAAAGATTAATTACTTTCATTTAGATCAAACCTAGAACTCTTAATGCTCATTAACCAAGTTTCAGTTTGATAGCCCACACTTTCGATGATAATGAATCTTTTAGATATTAGATTACATTAAAAAACCCTAAGGCTAATGGTTGCACTCATAATATACTTATTTTTCTACAAGTAATATATACATTTATATTTATTCGATTGTAAACTGGAACAGTGTTTCCATTATTTAGTAAAACATCCTAAATGATTAGGTCAGTTTACTTTTATGCAATTATGATACATAATTTTCTGACCATGAAATATTAAGGAACGATAGCATCAGACTAGAAAGTATTAGCATTATTACCACATGTCCTGTAAGTAAGCCTGTGAAATACTCAACAGTAGATTAAGTTTATTGGTTGTTATATTATTTACTACAAATCTGATATAGGTCACTTGATATATATATATATATATATATATATATATATATATATAAATTGTATCATGCTTACAAAAAGCTGTGAAATTTCATTTCAGTTGCTTAATTGTAAAAGTTTTGCATTTCTCCATATTCTATCGATGAAACTAGTTTCAGTCAACC